CAAGAAACATTTATGTTGGGAATCATTATTGAAGACATCATATTTAAGGCTATTATTTTAATTGGGGGAAGTGTAAAGACTCCTTTAGGGAATTGATGTTATCTCCATGGTAAACTGCTCCTAGTATTTTGTCACAATTTTTTTAAGAACTCAAAGATTTTTACTAGACCCATTTTTGCTTCTCTTTATGGTATTTCTAGTCTTTGTATGTTTATTTTAAATATCTTATATTCTTTTGCACATGTATGTGTATTAGAGTATGTCACAGCACATTTTTAAAAAATGATGATAGTATTTCTTTTGCATTACCATTTTATAACCATAAAGTACATTTGTATACACATCTTATTTATATATAAACCCACTTTACCAAAGAGGTAACAGAAACTCAAAAATGAAAAAAATTTAATGGCAGAACTGGAAGTAAAATTTATTTTTAATATCTGGTACCAAAGGACATAATAAAAATGCTATTCATTTATAATTAAGCATAAAATGTATTACTGTATATTTCCTTTCAAAGCAATGCACTAATTGCTTTAGCTTCTAAAATTGGTTTCAATTGACACTATGTCCATTCTGTATCTTTAATTTTTAGTATGGTCAGAAACTATGTATCTAACACTATATAACTATACTGTAGTATATAGTATAAATATACTATATGCTATATTGACACTATGTCCATTCTGTATCTTTAATTTTTAGTATGGTCAGAAACTATGTATCTAACTTACTATATAACTATACTGTAGTATATAGTATAAATATACTATATACTATATTGACACTATGTCCATTCTGTATCTTTAATTTTTAGTATGGTCAGAAACTATGTATCTAACTTACTATATAACTAGTTATCATCAAGTTGTATTATGCATTTTACTTTTCTACCACATTAAAAGTTTTTAATGGCATAAACCTTTACTTTAGAGCCAGTAACAATGTTACAAAACAGTATCTATTTCAAACTATATAGAACATCTTTACAGTCAAGTATTTTCATATGAACAAATTTGCAATTACGATGCATGGAGTTATTTTAATATACATGAAGTACTTTTATAATAAATTCACTTATGAAATATAACAAATTGGTGACAATTGAAGAATCTTATATATTTATGTCCCCTATTGGTAAATTAGTCTGAAACTTAATGAGAAAAAGCCAGGTTAATCTATAGACCCATAAAACCTTTAAATAACAATCAAGTGGCTTAAATTATCACACTGAAAATAAATTTATTTTATAGAACATGATTATTCCCTGTGGAATACAATTGTTGCAAATACATTGATTTCTTATGCAATTTTGAAGCATGCTTGTAGTATATTAACATATTTATCTAACCAATGTACATTATAAAACATATAGTGATTGCTAATTATTTTTCAACACTTTGAAGTGGGAATTAAGACTTTTTTCTTTCAACTTTAAATTAAAAAAACAGGTAGAATCATTATATATAAGTAGGTTAATGCATATATTTTTAGAGAAATATTTCTACTTGAGTCAGTAAGATATACAAAATCTATTTCACTTTATTCATACTGGCTTTGGCAAGTCTAATTGCCTCATTTTGAATATTTAATTATTCATCAGTGAGCAAGAATATAATTTTCTTTTGTATAATCATGTATAGCATACTATGTATCTTATGTGTGCATTTTTCTTTCTAATAGGAATAATTAAATAATGACAAGCCTTAATATTATTTCTGAAAACATTTGTCTCACTTTACCATACATTAATTTGATTTAAATACTACTCATCTCTGGAGTAGAAAAAGGCACAAAAAATTAATTTCATCTAATGATTTCCTTCTGTCCTCTACTAAATATCTTTTAATCAGTCTATTGAATAACAATTATTTCCTGACCTCAAACAGTAATATCCACTAGCAGAGAATCTAGTCTCCTAACATCATCTTATTGAAATATGGGTGGAGATTTAACATAAACTATTAAAAAATATAAGGCTATTGAAATATATCAGCAACTCAGGTTAAATAAATGTATAAACAAAACCAATCACTGAAAGAAGAGAATGCTAGCACAAATACAACTTTGCTGATAACTTTCTAAACTAAAACATTTTTTTCTCTTCTTTGATCTGAAAAATGTCAATCTTCTCATGAAAAGTTATTTTAGCAAACTAAAAGAACAGAAGAGGTTTAAAATATGGCTTATATCAGAAGTCTATTTGGATACTTGGAAAGAGAAATCTTTATCTGAAGTGCTTTGAGGCTCTCTGGAAGAAAAAGGAAGAGGTATTTTAAATGAAACAATTTTCCCCACCAGAATTCTTTCATCTCTATATGTGAGTGAGAGGCTGGGATTCAAAAAGTTCATCATTAACAAAGCCACACGCCATCCCACTTAGCAGTTATATCAGTCTGTTGCGTGATGTTGGGATTATTTAAGGCAGTTTCCCTTCATTAGCCAGAGTTCCTAAAATGGGGACTGTCAAGGCTGGAAAAACTGAGACCTGACCTATTTTTTTATTTCAAAAGAATTCTATAGTTTTTATGGTGAGTGTAATTCTTTTTAAGCTAAAGCTTTCCTCCTAACAAATATACTACATCAACTGAAATAAGCTAGCAAATTTCTTATTCGTTAAGTGAAGAAGTAAAAATCTCTATATAATATACACAAATTTCTATTTCTAATGGTGAATTCCTTATAGTTCTTGCTATACACATCTTCTTTACTGCTTATGGGAAGCTACGTATGATCCTTAAGAAACCCATACTTATGAAAGTATTAATCTGGAGTACATTTATTAAAGTAAGTTAATTCATTAGCTTGATAGGTAAGATTGATTAAAAATTAATATGTGAGTTTTAAAACACACTTTACTTAGAAGAAAATGATTCTATTAATAGTTTTTACTTTCCCTTTATGAATGAAATATTATCTTTTTTAGAGGAAAAAAGGTTTATGTATTCATTGAATAGAAACCATTTATTACTTGTTTAAAAAGAGAAATTTAATTTCTTGTTATTTTAAAAGACTCAAATGCACAATATCTAATAAGTGAATTTCATATGAATTACAAAAATCAACTATGCAGCAGATTTACAGACTTGATATGATCCTTATAATTCAAATATAGACACTCTAAGAGAGCAAGCAATCTTATGAAAATGATGTGCATAAGACAGCATGGCTCAGTAAATATATTTTCATAACGTGGTTTTCAGTAATAAACTACTTATCGTATTTATGCAGTTTTAAGATTACCAAGTGCATCTTCCTTAAATAAAGCCAAATGTATAAATGATGGCCTACATGCTTAATTTTCCGTTTAACTATTAAGTTCCATTGAATTGCATTATGATGAAGTACTTATATTTATAAATGAATGAAACCCAGATAATTTTACCTTCATAACCTTATGCATATCCACATAACTTTGTATGATACATCTTATAATGATCGAGTAAATGGGTAAGATAAACACTATAATAATGAGCTTCAGTTTCCTCAAGAAAGGTAATCTTATTAACTAGACATTTATTACCTTGACTTCAAGGCTTACTTAAAGAGTTCACAGAAAATAAAATTACTGGGTTCATTAAAAGCATTGCAATATGAGGCAGCAGGATCACAGTGGGCAGTTCTCTTTTGTCAACATTAAATAAAACTCCAGGGCAAAAGCACTTAGAAGGTAGTATTTCCTATGTTCAAACATATAGAATTAAAGAATAACGAAAGTGAACAACATTTATAGACTACTTTTGTTAGTCTTAAATTCTAGTAATAAAAATTCTAGGAAGGAAAATAGTAATGATCAATACTCTCCATGTACATGCCATCAATCTATGACCATTATCTTGCAGATAACTCTTTAAAACACAGTTAATCATATGAAATATACATTAAATGGCTCACTTGAAAGCTGATATTATAAAGCTATAAGGCTTAATGGAAAATCTTAAATAAGAAAGACAAAACTGTAAACAGTAACCACTAAAGTTTTTTAAATAAAGCTGATATTCTGGATAAAAGAAATGGCATGAAGAAGCAGATAGGTACATTTTCAAGTAGTATTAGGAAACTGTGGTTTAAAATTTATATTAAGATAACCCATGTGACTCAGAAAAAGCAAACAAGGGAAAAACAATGATGTTAGCTTTACCACCTACAGACAAGACCACGGTAGCTTTCATCCTTTTTTTCCTACTTCCTTCTTATATTATAAATGAATATATCTAGGATCTCATTTTAAAAATCAGGTTTATGCCCATAAATCATAGTTTGAGTTATCATATATATCATAAAAGACCTTGTCTTCCGTGTCTATAACAAATTCAACATTAAAAGTTAGTGAATGATAGATGGTTTTATTTCAGAAAATGAAAATCTAATTAAAATCAGGATACATCTAATTAAACTGAATCTACTCAAGATTTTTCTGTAGTTTTGTCATATGTAGACACAGGCAGGCAGGAGAAATGCAAAATGTTATATACTTGCACTAAGCTTATACCCTAGACAATGCCTCCCTTTGTTGGCACAACAGAGTATTATAGAAGGTGGCGAGGATGGCAATGACATAAGAACAAATTGGAATGGTGTCAATGCAAATGCAGTGGGCCAATCTAGCATTTGAGAATACAATGGATTTTATGAATGGTTTTACTAAATTGCAAGTCATTAAAAAAATTGTGTTCGTCATTCTCATTCAGAAGTAGTTCTTTAATAAAAGATACACATACATATTGTCTAAATGTGAAAGCCTAATTTTCTTAAAAATTAACTTTAGTTTCCCTTGAAAGCATAATAGTTCATTTCTGGTAACTTCTAAGTTAAGAAGAATAAGGTCTAAATTTCCAACAATTTGGCTAAATATGCAAAGCTAAGTCATACTGGCCCAAGTTAGTGTCCTATTCAGCCTGGAAAAGTCAGTGCTAACACCAAAAGTGAAATTAATCTGAAAATCGTAACTCTTAAAGAAAACATCTTCATAGATTACCGATACATGCAATACTTACGACTGTCGTAACATATGTTTCCAAGCGCCCTGCCTGTTTGAAGCAGCACTTCCTGGTCTTTGCTATTTAACAGCTGCACCAGTGGTGAAATCAATCCAGCATCCACACATGGAATTCGCATAAATTCTGAAAACAAGATACAACTGACTTAAGAATCTGAGGATTTTTCAGTTTACATAAATGTCCTTAATAATCTACGAATAAAATATTTAACGTCTGTTCAAGGTCCTATTAATATCCTACTGAAAAGGAAAAAGTACACAGAAAAGAGGCATTATTTTCTTTGCTGAGGTTTCTCTGCTGTAAGCCCAAAGATTTTTAATGAACTTTCATTATACCTCATTTATCATTATTAATTAATAATAACAATGTGCTTTAAAAGCAACATATTAGGATGTTGCTTTTTCCATGAGCCGGATAATTAAAGAACAATTCAACTAAGCCATCAACTTGCCTAATTTCTTTCACTGTATGTTCTGAAAAAAGACAAAATAGAAATGCCTTTCAAAGATTCTAGTGAATCATTAAAAACAATAGACCCCTTTCACTGGTAAGATCTAGTAGAATCTTCTATTTACCATCATTCCTATCCTTTATTAAAATCCATTTTATGATAGCTCACTCATATCTGCTATTGCACCCATGATTCACAGGTGAAAAAAAGTACCAAATGTTAAGCTTTCTTATAGTATTTCAAAACCAGTTTTTTCCTTAGCTTCATTGTAAAATACCCTCTACTTATTGACGCCAGTGGCACTGTATTGAGAAACAATGGCTAACAGCAGTGAAGCAGCCTGATCCCATAAGGAGTGCATCCTGGGAAATCCTGTGGGGCAGTGCTACATGGTCCCAGAGGGTCAATAGGAGTCAGCATCGATTCAATGGTAATGAGTTAATGATACCAGTAGAGTCAAGATTGGAAACAAACATTTTTAATGAAGAATATCTAATTGATAAAAGTTTACCAATCAACCCTTAAATTGTCACGTGGGGCATCATGACTTACCAAAGAATATTTCAGGGAACAAAGTTAGTCAAGAAAGAGCTAATTACTTGACCTGTAACCAATCCAACACACACACACACACACACAAAAACAAAACAAAAATGATCTCTCTTTTCAAGTGGGCCACACTCCATAAGTTTTTCTATATGCACCTTCCTAAGCAATCCTCCCTTGCTTTCCTTTCATTTCCAAATTCCACAGCACACCACATAGAGGTGTTAAGTGAGCTGTTAGTCCTGAACCAATTTTATGCATATATCTTTAATCAACTTTATTTTTCTGTCTAAAATAATCATAAGTCACAAAATGCGTTCCTCACTACCTAAACAGAGGATTTCATTTTTATAATATCTCATATCATTATTTTACTGAAAACTGTAATTTAATATCCCAAACTGAAAGTCCTCCTTACTTCTAAGGCTGACCTATGCATTTATATCTTAACTGGCTTGTTAACTTACTTGCTACCCCAAACCCTCAGCCATCGAGTGAATTCTAACTCTAGGACAGAGCAGAACCGATCCACGGGGTTTCAAAGGCGGCAATCTCTACAGAAACCAACTGCCATACTTTTTCTCATTTTTCTTTTTATTGTCCTTTTCACCTATTTCCCAACAATATGTT